CTACAATCAAATGATGTGAATATCCTTGTTGCCACGAATCTTCTTGAGTCTATGAAAACCTATCTTGAAGAAACTTGAGACAAATTTAGTGAATGTGAATTCAAATTCAGGAATATGTGTCCAGACACAGATTACAGTGATGGGGAAAACGGGGACGAAAACAAAGTGTGCGTCTTAGTGGATATGATGGATCAGCAGAAGAGATACTTCTCATTAAAACCGAAAAATTCAAGGTGGAAACTTTCCTCCCTATTCTGGACACTCGAATCTTTGAACAGACAAAACGTGCAGAGGTTTATTCACAAATTGGCAATATGTTTTCTTTCTTCAGTGAATTGAAAACCATTGTTTCTGATGCACTAAAGAAAGAGTGTGAACATCTGGCTAATATGTATCACGAAGACCTGAATTATGACGACCATTTAAATGTGAGCGTCTCCAGCACTCTTGATCAACAATGAGACTCCCGGGACTCTCCCGGGAGCCGGTCGGCCGAGCGGACAGTACACTGGACTTCTCTGATCCTGTGGTCCCGGGTTCGATCCCGGGCGCCGGCGAGAAACAATGGGCAGAGTTTCTTTCACCCTATGCCCCTGTTACCTAGCAGTAAAATAGGTACCTGGGTGTTAGTCAGCTGTCACGGGCTGCTTCCTGGGGGTGGAGGCCTGGTCGAGGACCGGGCCGCAGGGACACTAAAGCCCCGAAATCATCTCAAGATAACCTCCCTGTCGTAGCACAATGGGGCGGCACCGTGTGAACAGGCGGTCACTCCTGTACATGGAAAATGACATCCTGAAGACCAGCGACTTCAAGCCAATAATAAAGCAATTCTCTGAGAAGAAATGCCGTAAATACTTGTTATAATAAGAAGTTCATAGTAATATACTGTGCCATCTAATCTTTGCTTACTGAGTATTATTGTGTTTGTCAAGCCTTGTGTATTGTTCAAATGTTTATCATGTTGATCAGTTGCTGCTCTACAGCATGTTTTAATGTTTTAACACCAGCTTTGTTGAAGTGATAATAAAGTTAACATATGTTTAATATTGTCGACCATTTACCTTTTATTCCTGTGAGTGGTTTGTCGTAGGGGCCCCAGCACTGGTGTGCCCAGGGGCCCATGATGCTGTTAAGACGGCCCTGGTCGTAGGGGCCCCAGTACTGGTGTGCCCAGGGGCCCCAGCACTGGTGTGCCCAGGGGCCCATGATGCTGTTAAGACAGCCCTGGTCGTAGGGGCCCCAGTACTGGTGTGCCCAGGGGCCCATGATGCTGTTAAGACGGCCCTGGTCACAGGGGCCCCAGTACTGGTGTGCCCAGGGGCCCATGATGCTGTTAAGACGGCCCTGGTCGTAGGGGCCCCAGTACTGGTGTGCCCAGGGGCCCATGCTGCTGTTAAGACGGCCCTGGTCGTAGGGGCCCCAGTACTGGTGTGCCCAGGGGCCCACAATGCTGTTAAGACGGCCCTGGTCACAGGGGCCCCAGCACTGGTGTGCCCAGGGGCCCATGATGCTGTTAAGACAGCCCTGGTCACAGGGGCCCCAGTACTGGTGTGCCCAGGGGCCCATGATGCTGTTAAGACGGCCCTGGTCACAGGGGCCCCAGTACTGGTGTGCCCAGGGGCCCATGATGCTGTTAAGACAGCCCTGGTCACAGGGGCCCCAGTACTGGTGTGCCCAGGGGCCCATGATGCTGTTAAGACAGCCCTGGTCGTAGGGGCCCCAGCACTGGTGTGCCCAGGGGCCCATGATGCTGTTAAGACAGCCCTGGTCGTAGGGGCCCCAGTACTGGTGTGCCCAGGGGCCCATGATGCTGTTAAGACAGCCCTGGTCGTAGGGGCCCCAGTACTGGTGTGCCCAGGGGCCCATGATGCTGTTAAGACGGCCCTGGTCGTAGGGGGCCCCAGCACTGGTGTGCCCAGGGGCCCATGATGCTGTTAAGACGGCCCTGGTCGTAGGGGGCCCCAGCACTGGTGTGCCCAGGGCCCATGATGCTGTTAAGACAGCCCTGGTCACAGGGGCCCCAGTACTGGTGTGCCCAGGGGCCCATGATGCTGTTAAGACGGCCCTGGTCACAGGGGCCCCAGTACTGGTGTGCCCAGGGGCCCCAGTACTGGTGTGCCCAGGGGCCCATGATGCTGTTAAGACAGCCCTGGTCGTAGGGGCCCCCAGCACTGGTGTGCCCAGGGGCCCATGATGCTGTTAAGACAGCCCTGGTTGTAGGGGCCCCCAGCACTGGTGTGCCCAGGGGCCCATGATGCTGTTTAGACGGCCCTGGTCGTAGGGGCCCCAGCACTGGTGTGCCCAGGGGCCCATGATGCTGTTAAGAGAGCCCTGGTCGTAGGGGCCCCCAGCACTGGTGTGCCCAGGGGCCCATGATGCTGTTAAGACGGCCCTGGTCGTAGGGGCCCCAGTACTGGTGTGCCCAGGGGCCCATGATGCTGTTAAGACGGCCCTGGTCACAGGGGCCCCAGTACTGGTGTGCCCAGGGGCCCATGATGCTGTTAAGACGGCCCTGGTCACAGGGGCCCCAGTACTGGTGTGCCCAGGGGCCCATGATGCTGTTAAGACAGCCCTGGTCACAGGGGCCCCAGTACTGGTGTGCCCAGGGGCCCATGATGCTGTTAAGACAGCCCTGGTCGTAGGGGCCCCAGTACTGGTGTGCCCAGGGGCCCATGATGCTGTTAAGACGGCCCTGGTCACAGGGGCCCCAGTACTGGTGTGCCCAGGGGCCCCAGTACTGGTGTGCCCAGGGGCCCATGATGCTGTTTAGACGGCCCTGGTCGTAGGGGCCCCAGAACTGGTGTGCCCAGGGGCCCATGATGCTGTTTAGACGGCCCTGGTCGTAGGGGCCCCAGCACTGGTGCGCCCAGGGGCCCATGATGCTGTTAAGACGGCCCTGGTCTCAGGGGCCCCAGTACTGGTGTGCCCAGGGGCCCATGATGCTGTTAAGACGGCCCTGGTCTCAGGGACCCCAGTACTGGTGTGCCCAGGGGCCCATGATGCTGTTAAGACAGCCCTGGTCGTAGGGGCCCCAGTACTGGTGTGCCCAGGGGCCCATGATGCTGTTAAGACAGCCCTGGTCACAGGGGCCCCAGTACTGGTGTGCCCAGGGGCCCATGATGCTGTTAAGACGGCCCTGGTCGTAGGGGCCCCAGCACACTGGTGTGCCCAGGGGCCCATGATGCTGTTAAGACGGCCCTGGTCGTAGGGGCCCCAGCACACTGGTGTGCCCAGGGGCCCATGATGCTGTTAAGACGGCCCTGGTCGTAGGGACCCCAGCACACTGGTGTGCCCAGGGGCCCATGATGCTGTTAAGACGGCCCTGGTCGTAGGGGCCCCAGCACACTGGTGTGCCCAGGGGCCCATGATGCTGTTAAGACGGCCCTGGTCGTAGGGACCCCAGCACACTGGTGTGCCCAGGGGCCCATGATGCTGTTAAGACAGCCCTGGTCACAGGGGCCCCAGTACTGGTGTGCCCAGGGGCCCATGATGCTGGTTAAGACGGCCCTGGTCGTAGGGGCCCCAGCACACTGGTGTGCCCAGGGGCCCATGATGCTGTTAAGACGGCCCTGGTCGTAGGGGCCCCAGCACACTGGTGTGCACAGGGGCCCATGAAGCTGTTAAGACGGCCCTGGTCGTAGGGGCCCCAGCACACTGGTGTGCCCAGGGGCCCATGCTGCTGTTAAGACGGCCCTGGTCGTAGGGGGCCCCATCACACTGGTGTGCCCAGGGGCCCATAATGCTGTTAAGACGGCCCTGGTCGTAGGGGCCCCAGCACACTGGTGTGCCCACGGGCCCATGATGCTGTTAAGACGGCCCTGGTCGTAGGGGCCCCAGCACACTGGTGTGCCCAGGGGCCCATGATGCTGTTAAGACGGCCCTCGTCGTAGGGGGCCCCAGCACACTGGTGTGCCCAGGGGCCCATGCTGCTGTTAAGACGGCCCTGGTCGTAGGGGCCCCATCACACCGGTGTGCCCAGGGGCCCATGCTGCTGTTAAGACGGCCCTGGTCACAGGGGCCCCAGCACACCGATGTGCCCAGGGGCCCATGATCCTGTTAAGACGGCCCTGGTCGTAGGGGCCCCAGCACACTGGTGTGCCCAGGGGCCCTGTTTTGTGAGCACTGTCTTTTAACTTCTTAAACTGATAAATACATGTTTGATGTTTTTTCTTTTTTTGCTTGATAATTATATTTTATGATAATTAGTGAGTACAAACACGAAATACTAATAGTCTGACGTATATAGAAACAGGATAGGAAATGACAGGCTTTTGTCAGGCCCTCCAGAGCTCCGGCACCTATAAAATTGGCACTGTACCCCTGAGAACCGCTCCTGTGCCAGGTTAGTCCACTACGGGCTCACCATAGCCCGTGCTACTTGCCCCGCTCCTGTGCCAGGTAAGTTACGGGCTCACCATAGCCCGTGCTACTTGCCCCGCTCCTGTGCCAGGTAAGTTACGGGCTCACCATAGTCCGTGCTACTTGGAACTTGTTCCGAGTAGCTGAATCTATTGGTTGTATAACCAATATATGTAACCTATTGGCGTGGGAGGCGCTCTTGTATATAATGGATGGTATTTCACTGATGTTCCCAGCTTTGGTTTTTAGTGGGTGTAGGATGGACACTTCAAATTCATTTGAAGTTTTTTGCCTACTGTTTATGAGGCTTTCAAGATCAGAATAAATATTTGTTAATCGATAATTTAAAATTCTCTTTAAATGCCTAATAAGGGTGGAGTTTTTAGACAATTGAAATTGAAATTGAAATAAGTTTATTGAGGTAAAATACACACAAAGGGATGAGGTAGCTCAAGCTATTCTCACCCCGTTCAGTACATCGTGTTAATATATACATATACACACATCACAAACAATAAACATATTACCAAACATTCTGAGAGATACACATCTACATTTCCATGAAATTAGGAGGCTGCAGACGGCGCGAGCATGAGCCGTCGCGAGTCATTTGTCAGGAGGAGGAGCAGCAGAGCCATCTGTTGGCGGCTGTGGGGAGGCGGGGAGGGGAGGTAGCGGGCCGCGGTGTAAACAGTCAAGTGTCAAGTGGTGCGTGGGTCAGGCGCGTGCCAACACCTCCCCGGCTTGGTTAATGAAATGAGTGAAGAGTGTTAGTGTTGGTGTAGTTGTGTAATGGAGATGGAGGAAACCATAGTTGAGGAGTGGCTTAGGTCCCTCCACATGGAGCAGTACGCTGAATCTTTCATCGACAACGGCTACGATGACCTAGAGATATGCAAACAGATCGGTGCTCCCGACCTGGACGCTATCGGTGTAGTGAACCCAGGTCATCGAACTACCTTGCTGAATGCTATCTTGCTGCTACGGGAGGAGGGTGCTGCCTCTGTGTACTTCACGGTGGAGGAGGCGCAGCTGGCAGCCCGCGACCACACAACCCTCCGTAACTCCAGTGGGTCGCGAGGCCGCTCCTCTCGTTCCTCCAGAGGCTCTCGTGGGTCAGGCTCGACAGCCTCTACCCCTGGTGAACCTCCGGCCTCCTTGACCCTGCCCATGACCTCGACCACAACGCCGGCCCGTTATTTGGACGCGTACGAGGCCGGGAGGGCAGAGCTAGTGAGGCTCCCTCACACGCAGCTCAGCGGACTCCTGAAGGAGAGGCTGGTGCAGGATGCTGTTGACCTGGCCACACACCCCTACACCACACAGGTACTGTGCTCTAGTGTACCCTCCTACACCACACAGGTACTGTGCTCTTGTGTACCCTCCTACACCACAAGTACTGTGCTCTCCTGCTCTTGTGTACCATCCTACACCACACAAGTACTGTGCCTAGGAACAGTACTGTAAATCTTTACACCAAGGTAAACTGACAGCTATTCCTATTAAATGATAATCTTCCAGCAGACACTTGGATGGGGTTAATAAAACTTGAATACAACATCGGGCTACAATACCTTTGGTTCTTGGAATAAGCATGGATATTCTTGAAGTATTTAAATAACGATTTACAATAGTTACAAAATATTGCTGTATAATATACAAATAATAATGTACTGTATAATGAGAAATATCTTCAAATATTCTTCTTGCAATACAATAGTGTAAAATATCTTCAAATACAATACAATGTTGATACAGTAAGACATAAATTGTTGACTCTCTTTAATGTTGACAATTTCCTCTAATATTTTAAGCGGTGCCGAAAGGTCTCGACAATTGGTCATTAACTGTTAATCTATATTTTTACACGTGTAAATTTTGAAACCCCCTATGTAAGTCATGGAACTTGTCTTGTGACATTGACATATTGCAGAGGAAAATTAGTATACAGGTGAGCCTGACAATATTATCTGTAATGATTTATAAACTTAAGTTAGCATAACCAGGACTGCAATTTTTGGAGACATGACTGCTCCTCTAATGTTATTGTCCCTCATACCACCTTCATTGTCATCTCTTCAAAGATGGCATCAAGTAGGGCTGGCCTACTGTAAAGTACAATGTGTCAATACTATGGTAGTTCAGTATTGTCCGGTATTGAATGAAGTGTTGGCAATTAGGCCTATGTTGAAATCAAGGAGCCTACCTGTAATTTTGCCTGAAATGATTTGCGTAATAGTGACTTCATAGATTGTGTAACTTCTTTTCCTACAACTTGTACACAACTCCTATGTTCTTTGTGCACATATTCTTTTGAATAAACAATGTATTGTATTGAGTAATACTTTTTCATATTAGGCCTAGTAAGATAATTATAGATTATAAGCCAGATTCATAAAATTAAAATATTATTATTATAATACAGATTTTAAGGATAATTTTTTGCATGACCAAGTTTTCAGAATAAAACCTATGATTAACCAAATGTAAATAAGTTGATGCTTATTTACATTTGGGTGATATGTCGACAGTACAGGTGGGTTCGTTCTTTATTAACAATCAGGAATCCCAGGTTCAAATCCCAGTAAGACAGAAATGGTAAGGTATGTTTCCTTTTGTCTAATGATTCCATTCACTTGGCAGTAAATGGGTACCCAGAAGTTAGTCAATTGTTGTAAAGTTACATCAATTAGTACCTACTGATACCTGAGAACCTACTTGCTGCTAGGTACCTGGTTGATACCTGGTTGATGGGGTTCTGGGAGTTCTTCTACTCCCCAAGCCCGGCCTGAGGCCAGGCTTGACTTGTGAGAGTTTGGTCCACCAGGCTGTTGCTTGAAGCGGCCCGCCGAGCCACGTACCCACCACAGCCCGGCTGATCCGGAACTTCTCTTAGAAAACCGTCCAGTTTTCTCTTGAAGATGTCCACGGTTGTTCCGGCAATATTTCTTATAGTCGCTGGGAGGACGTTGAACAACCGCGGACCCCTGATGTTTATACAGTGCTCTCTGATTGTGCCTATGGCACCTCTGCTCTTCACTGGTTCAATCTTGCATTTTCTTCCATATCGTTCACTCAAGTACGTTGTTATTTTACTGTGTAGATTTGGGACCTGACCCTCCAGTATTTTCCATGTGTATATTATTTGGTATCTCTCTCGTCTCCTTTCTAGAGAATACATTTGGAGAGCTTTGAGACGATCCCAATAATTTAGGTGTTTTATCTCGTCTATGCGTGCCGTATATGTTCTCTGTATTCCCTCTATTTCAGCAATCTCTCCTGCTGGTGAACAGAGGCATTAGGTGAAAGGAAATGTGCCTAACCATTTCTGTCCCATCCGAGATTCAAACCCGACTACAGTCAGTACAGTCGGGTAGTACCTGATTGTACTACCAGGACCCTAGACAGGCTGCCTGTTCTCAAGAAAATGAATTATTATTATTATTATGGCATTTTTTATATCTGAACCATTAGGAAAGTAACATTTGGATTTTAATCTTGAGCAATATCTCAAGTGGAATGATGTCTAAAGCATTATTTGGGTCAAGATAAACTACTGTATATATTGTAATTTATAATTACAGGATAGCTAACAAAATCATTTGTATAGCTTAAAACGCAATTAAATGTGTGAAGATGTATATTCTGTGGGTCATCAAATTGCATTTCTCAAGGTTGCTATAATTCTAGTTGCATCCGATATTCTAGATGACCCAATAACCAACTGAAGGAAGCTTCTGCTTAAAGCCTCTGAGACTTTATTTCAGTATGTAATGTTTTCATGAAATGTTTGATGCCCTTCTTTCCTGGTATGATATACACTCCGCATCCAGCTGGAGGCAAGTTGAACTTTATGAGGAGCTCTGAAGAATTAAGTGGGAATAAAATAATACAAAATACTAGAAGTAAGCAGAGTTTTTATATTAATCATATAAAAGTAAAGCAGCAGTCTCCGTGGTGTAGTGGTAAGACACTCGCCTGGCGTTTCGCGAGCGCTTTGTCTTGGGTTCGTATCCTGGCCGGGGAGGATTTACTGGGTGTCACTCCTTAACTGTAGCCTTTATTTACCCAACAGTAAAGTGGGTATCTGGTTGTTAAAAAATTTGGGGGTCGTATTCTGGGGAACATTAGTTTTAAGGACTTGCCCGAAATGCTACGCATGCTAGTGGCTGTACAAGAATGTAAGAACTCTTGTATATATAACAAAAAAAAATAAAAAATAAAGGAAAAGCAGAGCATTTGTATTCTTATAATAATATAGAAAAATATGACCTGATAATTAAAATAGAATTTTATATAAACTTTTCTGTGTATTAATTGGTATGAGATTAGCAGACAAGTTAAAAAAAAAGTTAGAATCACAGTACTGTACAGTATAATAAGTTTACTGTTGTTAAAACCTGAGTTGATGCATTACCTCTGAAATTACTGTACTGTATATGATTTTGTACTTTAGTTAATCATGTTTTATTTATTTTAAAAACTTGGTCATGCAAAAAAATTTCCTTAAAATCTGCATTATAATAATATTTTTTAAATATTAATAGATAATTTGCATGTAGGATAATATCTACTGTTACCAAACACTTAAAGTTAGCAAAGTTTGTGGTGGACCAAAGAAAATGTATTTAACTTTTTTTGGGGAAATATATTGTATACTATATAGGAAGAGAAGAAATTGTTCTATAAAATTACACCAAAGTTGAAACTACTGTACATGCAATACTGGTGGATATATCATTTAAAAAATAGGGCTGTCAGGAATTACTGTCATTTCTGGACAGCCTGGTGTCAGTATCCAAACACTGAGACACATTATTTGTAAGGAACTTTTGCCTGTAGTATAACAGTGCATTTTATTATACTGCATATATACTCACAACTTACCAGCTGACACAATACACATTAGTGACATTCCACGTGTCACATGGCCATGTGGTATACCACGTTGAGAACACCGCTTCTCGTCCGATCAGCGAAGTTAAGCAATGTTGGGTTTGGTTAGTACTGTACTTGGATGGGTGACCGCCTGGGAACACCAAATGCTGTTGGCATTTGGCATAGTTGGCAATAATGTTTTATTAGGCGAGTACATGCCTATAAAACTGGTTATTCAAAGACACTTCATTATTTCATAGTGGTGAAAACTATTTAGTACTGCAACTCACAGGGGTAGCTCTATCCTGTTTCTCCAAGCTTCCAAAGCTTTCAACAAATCTGAATACACCAAATTTTGTATTGCTTAGCTGAAAAGTATGCCTTGTAATCACTTGATATCTATTTCTTATCAGGTATGCAAATTAGTTTCAAAATGGAGTATTGTCCTCTGAAAATTTCTAACTAAAATTGAGGACATACAAGGTACTGTTTTTAGTCCATTGTCAATCTTGATCCATTGTTGAAAGAGTTGAGAGCCAGTAGAGCCGACTGTTGCATAGGAAGTACTAAGGCCAATGTTATGTTTTTATGTGATGGTCTAGTTCTGTTGGCACTGACTAATGATGTTATGGAGAAATCCGTAGTAATATATGAAATGTATTGCTGAATACACAATGTTCAATCCTGCCAAATATGCTGTACGGTAGTTGCTCTAAACTCATTTTATCCAGACCATAAAATAAAATTACTGTACTTGGAAGAGAGAAATTCTGGTAAAGTTTTCTGAAAAGCATCTGGAGCATAATATATCCTCAATGGGCTTACTTTTCTAATTCTATTTGAGATCTGGAAGTCGGAACAAATGTTATGAGGAAGTTTAGTCATCGTGATACCTGGTTGAAAGTCAAGTTATTTAACAGTTAATGTCTCAGCTTGCTATAGGCATAGGTTGCATTTTTGTAGAACCTATGAGACTCTGACCTTTTTAAGCTAAATTGTGAATGGAGGAAACTTTCTAGAGGTATTTTGGGAGTCCAGCCTCGCATTGCTGCAATCTCCTACCTGGCCTGACGTCCACACCTACACTTGAAATAATTCACAAATGAATGACATAATTTTGTCTGAAGGGAATTACCCATCTAGTAAACAATATTGTCAGGAAATCTAATTTAAGAATGAATTACTGTATGTATATAATTGTGTAGCAGGTCAACAGGAAAGAATAAAACTAATCAGCAGATATAACCCCATCTGTATATTTGTGAATTAAGAAAGTATCACAGAGATTGTTTATTGACAAGTATTTTGTATCCCATTGAAATCAGATCTTTGTTACATGAGCTGTTTGTTCAGAGTGATTTTAATCCAGGCTAACCACTGAATTCTGTTGATGTAAAATGTACATTTCCTTAACTTCATGGTATAACTAGTTTATATGCTATTGGAGT